ATATTCAGATTCCGTTAATATGGTCACAAAGAAGTTGTTAAATGATAATTGTGATACATGGTGGTATAATTGGCGGTATTGTAATTCCAGTTCAAACAACTCATGAATGACAATTAAGTTACTATTATGTATCCACCCTTCCAACTGTTTACAAGTTGCCAAAGTGTGAAGAAATTAATGAATGAAAAATGAAATTTCAAATGACGAGAATTGGAACTACTTGTGATTCCAGAATACCCTTCTTTCTATTCTCACACTAGTGGGTCTTGGAAGTTTGAAGTAAATATTGGTTTAGAGACCATCAGGAACACTCTTAGGTGTTCTGATTGGTAATTTTCTTTAACAGAGAATATTCAAATAGAAAGATTTAAATCCTGCCACATCGTATCAACTTCTTAGAACTTCGAACGAATAAAAATTCACCAACCCTCCCACAATTCTTCAGACATCTATTGGTTCGTAAATTAAACTACGAAGTGGCATTTCTAAAATTCATTCCTTTATTAAAATCGTGGTTTCATTTAAGACGCCTACATTACAGTAGGGGGGATTGTTTCAAACAAGTGATTGGTACAACTTACTAAAATTGTCATATCACGTGAGTGAAAAGTAAATAATTGGATAGAGTAAGAGAAATAGTCACGCACTGATACACAAGCAACAATAAATCAGTGTCATGTAATGTTAAATCTCTGTTCCTGTAAAAGTTTGACGTGAATTTGTCGATTTCAAAATTATTTTGAGTTACTTTAAAGCGAAATCGATTCAGAAGGCGTTTCAAACAAAATGTGAAGAAATTCACTAGATCAGCATTTTTAATAGTACTGTTAGTGAAAATAGTGCTTTTTTGAATTAATCGCACTCGAATTTGGGAGGTTATTTTAACCTTATCAACGTCGGCGTAGGTGGGATACTTCCTGATTAGATCTAAATAAATGTCACAGAGGTAGACATTTGCTTTCCTTTGTCCTCTTTTGCTTTATTTTGGATCCACTCTGTGAACTATGCACAAAGATATGATCGATTGGAAGTAGCCAAAATGTATTCATTTGACCTCTGCACAACTTACGCTAATGTTTCTAATAGGAAGAAGAGGAGCATTAATGTGAAATTATGCAAAATTGGAAACAAGTTCATACTTTTCTGCCTAATTTTTGAAATGATGAGCAATCGCGTGGGGCATTACAGTGAATTACATTCCACACAGATAGAGGATATTGATGATATTCAATGAAATGAAGTATTTTTTTCCATTTACCAATGATTATTTCATTTGTGTATATAGCGTTTGCGACTACACAGCAAATTCTTCCTTCAAAAAATTAGAAACAATTCTTTACTTCCCTCTTTATTCTTACTCTTGATTATTCACTATTTACTAGCAAAATACAGCTCCAATCTTTTCTCTTCATTCCGCGAAATCCCATTCAGAATTCAAATTGAGAGCAATTTTAAATAGAATTCGATCACCCAAACAGCACATTTACATGAATCCTCTTGCCCCATTTTTTATTTGGGTATAATAATTACGTAATCTAATGGATACATTTCAATACTTCGGAATATTTGTCCTTAAATACTTCCGAGATTTATTTAATACGGAACAACTGAGTCATAATTACTTGATTCGTAGGTTGATCTTACAATATTTACGCATGTATCAACTCGAAACACGCACCAGAATATAGCCCAGCAACCCGGCAATGTAGGCAGCCGACTAATAAACGATTCATCCAATCAGCCCTTCCTCTCTACGTGTCGCTTCGCCAACACTATGCGTTCAAATCACGCGCCTTAATGGCTGACCAATCATAAAACACCAACAAACCACGCTCGATAACGCCTTGAATAGACCACGTTTTGTGGTGGCACTTAGTTCCACTCTTACTGCTTTGCAGCTTGTACATTGTTAACTCATTCCTTTTATATATTTACAATGGCTGCATTTCAAAAAATTTTTTATGCAATTGACAAGGATAATACTGGTGTGATCACTAGTGTTGATCTTCGCAATTATATGCAGAAAATGAGGTACAAAGAAAGCTTTGTTACCACCTGGACAAGTCTCTTTGATCCCGAACACACTGGAATTATTACCTATGAGAATTACTGTAAGGTCCTGGGACTGAAACAGGAGAATCGACCTCCTCCACCTCCGCTCTCAGAAACACAATCGAATTCGCATGCAATCGAAACTCAAATTACACCAACGAACTCCGAACCAATTAGAGCAGAACACACTCTTCACAAGCCAGAGGAGCAGAACTCTGAAAATTCGGGATCTCAGTGTCAAAGAAATACTGATTCTGTGAGTAAGGAAGATTCGAGCCTGAAGCACCATAAAGCACAGGAACCCTCTAATGAGCTGAATTCGAAGACATCCAGTGTTGAGGCAACTGAAGAACCAAGAGAGGTTAGTGGAAAAGTGTCAAGAAAGCGGAAACATGCGAAGTCTCCAAGTAAAGAGAATGTAATAACTCCCATCATATCGAAGTCAAATGTTGAGGCTCATTCACCCAAGAATAGTGGAATGGAAACGAAATCGGAAACAATGAATTTGGAAGCGGATCCACAGTCAATGGAATCCATAACTCCTCAGAAAGTGGACCAAACATTGTCAGCAAAGTCTTTTCAGAACAGCAAAGTAGATGGGTCTGGAAAGTTAAAAAAGAGAGAGAAAGAAGGAAGTCATAAGACATTGAAAGAATCTTCACAGGAATCTCCAGATGTGGAAAGTAAAGGAGCAGATTCGAAGGAAGGCAATTCAGGAGATGTGGTTGAAGGCCAAGAAAAGTGTAAAGAATCAAAGAGGAAAGGGAAACTGAGGTCACCTGAAATCAAGGGGAAGGAGCTTTGTGATGGAAAAGGAGAACATCCTGGAGACAGTGGAATGGATATATTTGATTTTCTGATTGAATCGAAATCAAATCCCATCAATATAATAGATGAATTTTCTGATATGGATCAGTCCAAGTCTGTTAAAGAAGAAATTACACCTGAACCGGTAGAACCAGTACCGAAATCCAAATCAAAATCGAAGTCTCAAAAATCCCCCAAACCGATGGATGTAGTAGTAGAAGAGTGTAAAGAAACCAAGAGGAAAAGTAAATCAAAACAAACTGTATGCCCCGAAAAGAAGCATTCTGACGAAATAATAGAACAGCCTGATGACGGTGGAATGGATATATTTGATTTTCTAATTTCTGGTAAGGATGGTCCAATAGAAACAAGTTATGATTTTGATGATCAACCACTGGATAAAATGGTTTCCGAAACCGCGGAACTTACAGTGACTGGCAACCCATCTGTATTTCATGAAACGAAGAAGGATAAGCCTCACCAGAGGTCCAAGAACAGATCCAGAAATGCGTCGGAGAAGAGTGAACATATAGCTTCAAATGCTCTAGAGGATATTTCTGCCTCCATTAAAGAACAGCAAGAAACAGGAGGAGATATATTTGATATGCTCTTAGAAGCCAAAGATCATCCAATGGAAACAGTTGATGATGAAGATATGAATTCGACTCTGACTGTAAATCCTGAAAAGTCGTTCGAGAGTAAATCAGAGCCGTTAAAGAAAACGGAGAAGTCTGGTACGCATGAAAGTGGAAGTGAAGATTTGTGCCAAGTGGATATAAACGGTAAACGGAGCAAAAGGTCTTCAAAACCAAGCGAGGGGCAAGCGATTCAAACTCTGGATACTTCGGGGGAAAAGGTTAATGCTCAAAAGCATCAAATTGGGATACCAGAGTCTTCAAAATTCAAGGACACAATGGAACGTGCTTCAGATGAAATGCAGTATGAAGTACCGGTAAAGAACAAAGGGAAGGATCAAAAGTATGAAAAGGGAAATTTTGAATCGTCAAGATGTCTTTCAGAAGTTGAAACTGTTCCTGAATCTTTAGGCCAAATAGAATCTTCCAAGAAAGCCCATCAAAGTGGAAAGAAAAGTGTTAAGAAAAGGGAAAAGAAGTCCTCAGAATCATCTAAAGTAGAGATGGATATAGAGCCTACAATGACTTCTTGCTCTCTTCAATCGATACCTCCAACGGTAGGAAATCAAAGTCGCTCAAATCCTGGAAAGATATTTATTGATTCTTCTGAATCTTCTCTTACCCATCATGAATCCAAGAAGGCAACCAAAAATAAGCGACAAAAGAACCCATCAGAAACGAAATCTTTTGCACCCACAGAATCCACTGATGTTGAAATGACTACCGTTCAAGAAATTCTTGTGCCAACTGTTGAAACTCCTGTCAGATCAGATAATCTTGATCTGTTTAAGATGGGTCCAAAGGAAATCAAGTCGACTCCTATGGAAATTGAAATAGTTTCGGCCTTAACGGAAGACCAAGGATCTTCAAAACCACCAGAGGTTACTGAATATGTAACAGAGTCAAAGGAAGAAAAAATGAAATTCCCCGAATCTGACAAAAAGAAAAACAAAGAAGCATCTGCGTCCGCCACAAAAGATCAAATGAAGCGACACACTGAAAAGACTTCTTTAGAGCAACAGAAATCATCCAAAGATACAAAGCCATGTGCAGATAAAAAGAGTAAGAGAAATAAGAAATCATCGGAATCATCTCCAGGGAATAAAGAATCAGTCCCTTCATCAGCTTCAGCTCCTCACGAATCCTCTATGTCTACCATTGAAAGTGGCATTGTCCCAATGGAAGAGGTTGTTTTGGAAGCTCCAGTTCCATTGATCGAACCGAAAGAATCAAAGAGAAAAGTAAAACCGTCTGAATCATCAGTTTTGGAAATAACTGAAAATATATCTCTCGCTGAAGTGCCTAATCAAGAGGCATCCAAGAACTCACAACAGGAAGGTGAGACAAGAGCCCCCCAATTTGCTGAAAATAGAGTGGTGGAAAGTGAATTAGAAGTCAAAGTTGCGCCTGTTGAACAAGGAGGAAATAAGAAACCGCCCAACTCGAAGCAAGTGTCGAACTCTCCTCCTGATAAAGGGGAAACCCATAACGTACCAAAATCTTCGGATGAACTTAAGGATGACAAGAAGAGAAAAGAAGGGAAGAAAACTGCTGAATCTACGAAGGACAGTGATAAGAGGTCCCCAACGAAACACGAACCCGTTGTGGAATTATTATCTCCGTCGATCTCAGCTGGTCTGGAAACTACAACAAGTGATAGTCAAAAGGAAAAGTCTAATGAAGCGAAACAAGATGAAGCCACAGAAACCAAGAAACACACTGCTCTGAAGATCGAAGATCTTGCGAAACCTACGGAATTTAGACATGAGTTGACAGAACAGCAAAAATCTGACAAGAAGTGCTCAGAGTCATCGAAAAAGCCCGAAACTTTGGCCGCAAAAGTTGAAATCGCTGACATGGCGAAGTACTTAGAAGGATCTAGGGATGACAAGAGAAACAATGGACCGAAGAAACAACCCAAACCTTCAAAGGAAAGTGGACATAAACCAACCATTGACCGAAAACCTGCTGAAGAATTGAAATCGACATCTAATATAAATTTCATTGGAAAACAAGATAAACCAAAGAAATCTAAGCAAAAGGCTCTTCAAAATAGTATCGAAGAGACAAAAGCGACTACCTCAAAAGTGCACAACTCTCCGTCAGATTCTACTCCGGCCAAACAGTCAGAAACTGACAAAACTGAAAGGAAACAGAGTAGGAGGGGAGAAAAGAAACAATCGAAACCTTTGAAAAGGACTTCCGGAGAAAGTAAGACATCTCAAGCATTAGGATTTAACGAGGGTGGATTGGAGATTACAAATCGACCTCTAAAAGAATTGAAATCTGCAAAGAGTGAAGATGGTGCCGAATCCAAGTAAGCTACGTTCTCTCTTTAAAATTTATTTTATGGACGCGTTTCACTAATTCTCTGCTATCACTTTTGATTGAAAAATATTTATATACGTTCTAAATATTTGCATAGTTTAACTTTCATAAGCTATTTAAAATTTGCAGCATTTGAGTTGAGATATTTTCGACAAATGGTAATTAAGCGGACACGCAAACGTTACGTCCGAAAACTAGAACATCTTATTTTGTTATTATGAAGAACATTTAGGAAAATAATTCAAATGTTTTGTCAATAGTGAGTTGCAAAAGTTCAAATATTAGAAATTGATGGCCTTAATTATTATTTTCGAAATTTATTTTTCTAGCTCAATAATAACATTTAATTAGTTTTATCGTTTTTAAGCAAAACGGATGATCGAGTTTACGAGTTGGAAAACTATGAACTTTTACACTTTAAAGCATGGCTTATAGTAGAAGAATGATCTCCTTGTTTAGATAGCAACTATTTTTTGAGTCGATCAGTCCAACCTTGAGAGTGTACCAATTAGAAATGGACCGTTTTCTGATTTTGCCGTCATCAATACGTAGGTTAAATGAGAACAACTGAAGGTAGAATATTTATTACTCATAAAATACTTTTAACTATAAAAGTTTACTGTCATGGTTGCATTTTGGTAGTGTTCTATGAAAATCGGTAGGCTTTTATGATTATTTAGGGAAAATTTATCAGAATGTTTTGTGCTGTAGTACGATATTAGAGAAAACCACGATGGTTTATTATTATTAGATCAGGTCAAAAACCGACGGCCTATTTCCAAGTAATGATGGCACATTCCCCAGTAGAGCAGTGCTATGCCCCGTTTAAATGATTGAGTTTGAATCCTTTCATATGATCAAATTAGTTCTTTATGCTTGGGTAAATTACCAATTATCTCCGAGACCACTTGACGAGTTCAGGTTACAACCAACCCAAATAGTTGCCAGCGCCAACTTGATTAAATTCCTTGTCATAATAGTCTGACAGGCTGTGTTTCATATTTTCCAACTAAACAGCAACCCCCAAGGTAATTCACCACGTAGACTTCAGATTCTATCCTTATTGAGACTTAAATTAGCAAAATTTTGGGATGATATTTACAGAGATTCATTCCTAGTGTGCCTAGTAATTATACTCGCACCCTGAATCAAAGAAACAAATCTATTAGCATCATTTCAGTCGAATTGATCTTCCCAAAGTGAGATAATCTCTCTTCCTCCTGGTAAGCCGAAAATATTTTAATAATTTTTAGTCATGGAATAAAATCTAGACGTTGGAAAGCGCAAATTTTTCAAGTGAGGAAGTAGACCAAGCAGAAGAGAGTACAGGTGAACCGGATTGTCAGCATAAATAAATTATTTAAATTCCCAAGTCAACGTCTCATTAAGGGACAAGAGCTGACTTTTAATATTCAAAGACATCAAGGTCAAATCTATCTTCTGGTTTTCTGAATAAACGCAGCATGTTAGAACTGTCAATTATGCATATCAACTGGCCATGACACTGGAATTTGCGTCCGTAACCAGGTCGATGACTCCTACTTCCAAAGATGGGAAAAATGTGGGGGGGGGGGTAGTCCCAATATTAGCACCTCCAACTGATTCCTAAACTGGCATTTAAATTTATAAAAAAATAAATTCATAACCAGTTTGGATAACCGAACGACGTGAAATTGTTAGATTTGAAGTTTAGAAATTTGGCAGCCAGCCAACCGAAAATTCTTTTTTTAATGCCAATTACTGTGATTTTTCTGAGTTAACTATCGTTGTGCTGATGGTAAAGACGCAAGTAATTTTAAAAAACAAGCATTAAAATACTCGTTAATTAAGTAATAATTCAGTAATCATAAGATACATAACCTTAAATATAAAATCATTTTGAACTAATGGCGCTATCCGCATTTCCCATTTAAAATTTCCTATTCGAATGTAGATATGTGTGGAGATTTCAATTACCATATTTCATCGCGTTCAAGATCTCTGCAAATGCCTTGGCATTCCATTTTTAAGAAAATTTTGCTTGTTTTTATTGATCGTAAAACAATTTGGTTTCTAATTAGTTCTGATTAACAAAGGTGCCATGTTTTCAGCGTTTGGTTGGAATGAAATTGTGACATTATGTCAAATAAATGCCTTAAAGTTCGAATAATTGCCCATTTTTGTATTGTTTTAAAAATTTAAGAAGTATTTCTTGTGATTTTTTTCTGGCTTTACGTAAAGCGTTTTCTTGCGAGCGTCTTGGACGCTGCAGCATGTTTTGGTCAATTAACGTCTGCTATTTTTATTGGTCTGTTAGGTTGTACCTGTCAGATCTCTGAATAGGTAATAAATGTTTCATTCTCAGTTTATTGCATACAAACTATCCATTACGACTCGATTTCTTGAATTCCTTCTTTTAAACCTCATACTTCAGGCATTACGTACATTTACTCATTTAAAATGTGTGCAATTAAATTCCCACATCCCATTCGGATTGGTCGCATCAATCATACTCGGGACATGATCATGTTTTTTTGCAATTTTGGCAGACTGACTGAAGTAGAGGTGAACACAAGGTATGGGGTTGGAATAAATAACCAATTCTTCAGAATACTGTTTTCTCTTTACTGAGATGGAATCATTTCATTTCAATCTAAGGCGAAGAAATCTCGACATTGCGGGTTTGTTGCACGTGTTCCTTGGTGAAAACTACTGATGTGCATAAAGTTCGGGACTATTTGAGAATGAGCTCCTAGTTTCCACCCTTAGAATAAGCTGTGAGCAGCTTTCTGGTATTTGGCCAAAAATACCCTTAACTGTGTTCATGAAACCATCTTGTGAACTCAAAGAAAAACCAGATTCTAATAGACAAAATTTAGTTATCACTCTGCTCCAGTGAAAACCATTTCGAGAATGAATGTAATTGCAATGGCAAATGGACCAGCAGCGTTTTATTTTTTTTCTGCAAACAAGTTGAGGCAAGTCCGTCTAGAGCGTCTTCTATGCACCACGAGTTCTTACTGCTTTCATCAATGTGTGTTCGAGTTTTTACTCGCCAATCGTCATATCCAGGGCTTAGTTTCATTGAATTTATGTTTCAATAGTCATGAATGCTATAACTATTTAATTGAGAAGGGTTTAAAAGACCCTCATATATTATATTGTAAGTAGCGAATGATACTCGTGTCACCGCTCTTTAAGCCACAATTCTATTGAGCAATGCCAATCTCTCATTCTTCTAATTATCAAAAGAATCATATTTAATTGTATAGCATTACTGATTTAAAAACTAATGCCACCTTTAATTGCACGCTCTATATGGTTCTTTCTTAACCAACAATAGCATTTATTATACAGAATTTATATACATATTACACCTTCGTTCTAGATTAAAGCGTAGCAAATTGCACTCTCTCTAGTATTAGCCGCATGCAAATTGTTTATAAGGTTGTCTGTCCTTCCCTAATGAACTTAATGATTAACATATGATCCTTATCCCACCCTGTTCCTGTCTCATGACAGTTGAGTTTTTGTAGTTGCAACTTACTCAATTGGTATTCCTGTTCCATTGAAATCTTCCATGTTAGTGATATGGTTCTGAGTAATTTTCACGTATAAATGTCTCTTCAGTGGTTGTCTAAATAGCTACATTTTATTTTTTCAATAATTCAATCGTCCATTTTGCTCCATCATATTTCAGATCGAGATTTTTCACAAAAGTTCGCTGATTTTTTCTTATTTTCCTTAATTACAAGCTACTTGAGTGTCTTAATAGTGGAACTAAACCACCCAATCAATTCCTCGATGAGAGTAAAGATTTTCTTTTAATTAAGAAAATTCGTTTGTGTTTATTAAAAACAAATTTTATGCACAATTTCGTGCCTGCAATAATATCGTGTTATTTCAAATAACTAGTTTTAATTTTAAAATCAAACTTGTTTTAACTCTTTTAATTGCACACACGCAGCAGCCAATAGAATCCCAGTAAGAGATGTACTTATATGCCATAAGAGTTTCAACTGATCGCAGCGCCAACGAATGAAACTGCGCTGAAGCCATAAAGTGATTGTCTCCCCACCTCAACCCCCCCCCCCCAACAGGACAACATGCGGAGGCGTTCAGTTGCAAAACCGTATTATAACTCATAACTCGTCAACTCCTTACAAAGAATGGAAGAGTGAAGATTTGTGGGTTAATTTTGAAATAGTGCTCTCACAAGGATAGGCTGACGCCTTAATTACTTGATGTGAATTAAATGATTAATCAAATTTACTTTGATGAAAGAGAATTCACACAAGTAGATTAAGCAGGTCATACCTCTTCTTGGTGAGTCGTATTAATGATTCATCAGCTTGAAGAAATGTAAGGTACAAGAAATTTTGCAGATGATGTTTCTGCTAAAGCAAATATTAATCTCTAACCTGTTGTATTTCCTTGTTACTAATGTGTATGGACTACCCACTGAGAAAAATTAATGCAGATGCAAAAATACATAATGAATTTTAAGTTATTTAGAATATTATTATTATATCAAATGCCATGCGTTTTGATGGTTATCATTAGCCCTTTAGCTGACTTCAGGCTTCATAGAGGGGAGGAACATCAAAGTGAAAAAAAGTCGAGAGGGGGGGGGGAGGGGAACGGAAGAGTGTTTCAAAGATGTAAGAGAGACAAACACAAAGGTAGAAAAAAAGGTGAGGTGAGTACTGTGGAAGTAGTCGAATATGGCATACAGTGGGGTCATGGCAGTTTGAAGTCAGAAGTCAACTGCCAGGTAATAGGCTTTTTTGCTGTATGAGTATACGCTGCCCAGGGTGCACCATGTGGAGGTAGGTTTATCACACACTCCGTTACTTAGAATATAATCTCAAACTAACTGACATCTTGTTTGGGGATGTATGCGAAAATGCATCATATTTAAATTTTTTTCATTTTCCATTTTGTTATGGCTTGAGAATCAAATACTAGTTCCTTATGTTGTTTTACATATTACTTGGAAAGTTGAACGTACAATCAGGCTAATGAATTAAAATCGGTATAATAGATATAAAATTACTCCAGAGTATGTGCCTATGGATGCATTTAGAATGTTTTGAGTAGTGTATGCTACGATATGTAAAATGTCTGTACAATTTTGCCCGATGATGGATTTCAGTACTTTTATAGTTGACCACGTTCTATCAGCCAGGTTTATTGCAGAATCAAATAACGGGTTTAATAATTCATATAAACAAGCTAAATTTAGCCCCTTCCACACGAGCGCGCAATACGAAGCAAGAAATAATACGTGATGCAAAATGCTTGGCATAAAAATAGTTTTCAAGAAAAGATTCGAAGGATTTTCAGATAAATTAGAGTCTGCCTGGTTTAAAACCAAGTCATTAAATCGGTATTTACTTTAAAAATTAATTACTTTGTTATTTTATTGTAGTATTTAAATATGCGAAAATAATTAAAACAATTGCGCAGTTTGGGCAAACTTTTATACGTTTCTGTGAACGCATGCAACGTGAACGCATACAATCATTTTCATACTGTCTTTCTGTTTGCAGGAAACGCACCAATAAGAAGCGCAAAGCTACTGATAATGTTGATGATAGTTCCAGTAAAAAGTGTAAAAAGGTTGGGAAAAATTTGAAGAAAAAGGCTGATGATAACGAGAAAAAAAGGAAGAAACGAAAAAGATCCCAGTCAGCAAAGGAAGGAGATGAAGGTACTGGCAAAAAATCAACTAAACGTCCGCGTATAGGCAATCTGGAGTGCGGACGATTTCCGAAAGCCTTCGCTGTGCAAGTTAGTCTACTTTTATTCATTAAGTAATAAATTCGATGCATTTAATCTTCGAAACCAAAACTAATCAGTTGCTATGCCGACTTTAGAGAGATTTAACCATTTAAAGCCCGAATTATTTTTTTGAAAAATGCACCCACCCGCATTCACACATGTATCACAGCAGACAGATGCTGCCGACATGATGAGCTTTTGTGGTATCAGGCGAACATGTTTCAAACGTCAATAGATCCTTCTGTTACCAGTATAGGATCAATGGAGTTTATTTTGAAAGAGAACCATACAGTCCTAAGAGTGTTAAAGGGTTAAATCTAACCATCTGAGAGGCATCACTTTCTAGAAGCATGCTTTCCTCTGTCAATAAAAGAAGGTGGGGTTAATTTACGAGCCATAAAATTGTAATAAAACGTTAACAATATATTGGTAAAATATAGTACTTTACAACTGCGCACGAGATTTCCTTCGAAGCTAAGTTCTCTAATAACTTAATTATTGATGTAGTAAATAATTCGACTTAAAGAAATCAATTCTGCTCACCAGCAATAAATTTTAAGTGCACAAACTTTTTATGTAGGAATTAATAAGTAGATGTTCCAAGGTGTCCTTCCATTTGCCTTATTTAATGTTTAAACTTAAAGCAATCTACCGATTTACAGTCAATCAATTTTAATATATTGGAATGAAGAAATATTTTATATTGCTTTTAAGAACTTATCAAATAAGATTTTTATTTGGGAAACCAAACGATATTAAAACGGTATCGGAAAAGTACTTGACGTGTCTTTTAAAATTGATGTTCCACAAACGTTGGTCTATTAATTCCAATTGTAATCAATGGCATGAATAAAACGATATCATGACCTTATTTTTAGCTTTCAACGCTAGGAGGCTTAAACTAGTCTCCTCTTTTATTTCAGCAGCTTGGAAAATCGTTGTAATACCCATAACTCATAAAATCTTTCGGCTTTTTAATCCCTTCCTTAGTCCTTAAATTTGATGGAAAATTAAAAGCAATTCATACTTGGTTGACCGAAGTATTTTTACTTCAACATTAGTAGCACAGGAAGGCTTTGGACAGTATTTGCTGAATATTGTGAGGTTTGAGGGATATGCTCAAAAATTGTAATTATTTTTCAAGGTTCCCCACAGAGTTGCCCAGCACAGACGAGACGGTGCTCCAATATCGACTCACGCCCTCGGCAAAGCTCCGAAAGGTTTCTTTACAAAGATGAGCTTGGAAAGACGGAATAGAAACAAACCAAACAAGTCGATTCAACGATGGAGGCTTAGAAAGTCCCTTCGAAGGGTTGGCACCGTTGTTATCTTGCTAGCTGGTCGTCACAAAGGCAAGAGAGCCGTGGTCATTGGTCGTCACAAATTCTCCGGTCTCCTCCTGATTACTGGACCCTACAAAGTGAATGGAATTCCAATCAGACGAGTACATCCCGACTACGTTATTGCTACAAAGACTATCATTAAAATGGACAAGGTGAGGTGTTGCAGTTCCTTTTTGTAGGTATACTTTAGAATATTTAATAAAGTAAAGAGGAGTGAATAGCAGAGCATGAGGGTCTTAAAATGTTCCAAGAAAGAGTGAGGAGAAGCAACCATCCTCTGTCTAAAGCATCTTAGATTTGCATGTGTCCAGATTTCTCACTGGTCCTCTTTATGCCAATATCAATCCGTATGGTAAGCTAGATTAGCTTACTTACAAATTTTAAGTAGAAACAGGCTTGGTACCTTACGCAACACATTTATTTATATCAAATGGCAGGCGTTTTGATAGTTATCATTAGCCCTGGAGCTGACTTCGGGGCTTCATGAAGAGGAAAAGGGACATCAAAATGACAACAAGTCGAGATGGGAGACAGAATAAGGATTCACAGAGGTAAAAAAGACAGACAGACAAACACAAAGGCATAAAAAAGGTAAGATGAGTACTGTGGAAGGGGTCGAATATGAAAAATAGTCGGGCCATAGAAATTTGAAGTCAGAAGTCAACTGCCGATCAATTGACTTTTTTGCCGTATAAGTATACGTTGCCCAGGGTGCACCACGTGG